CGTATGCAATTCGTAATGAGTAACCGACAAATCAAGAATATCACTTTTCTAAAAAAAAAAAAAAGGGAAGAAGTAAAATAAAAAATATTAAGAAGCGAATTTTAAATTACAATGTTTTATTGTTCAAGTAGAAAATTATACGCTCAATTGATTCACGCAGTAATCTCTTTGTGTTAATCAAGATACGAAGGCGGCGGCTCGCTGTCGCGCGCAGTTATCGCTAGATCGTCCTACGAGACACACGTTTTTTCATTTATCGTATCTCGCCATTGCAACAGCCGTCTCGGGGCTGCTTGCTAAATCACTAAGAAGGATATCTTGCCATAATTCCTTGCGCTACCTCATTCAACTCTGATTATTAAACCACTGTAACAAAAGGGTAACTATTAATTATCTTCACCAATTATACTTTAATCATATTACATACTATAATTATATTCTTTATGCCTTTATGTTTAAATATTAAATATCTGATTTTATTATCAATTATACTTTGATTATATTACATACTGTGGCGTCGAGTGGCTCACCGCTCAATGCGATTGACTCGCGATCTGTAGACCCGAGTTCGATCCCACGTGCGCCAAACGCGATTTTTCGCGTTTAATGAGCCAAAAAATGGCTCCACCTGGTGATCAAAAGATCTATGATCATCAGCGCCGTTCGGATGCGGCGTTAAGCGGGGAGCACAGACTTTTGCATAACGCATAAACCATATACATAAAGAATATGATTGGTCCATTGACTCGTGCATAAGAATATGGACCAATGAAATTCCTTATGCACATGCGTTATGCAAAAGTCTGTGCTCCCCGCTTTAAGCTCAAACACATGAAATGCATAATAATGCATAAACATAACACTGACCGCTGGACCAATGAGCATCTTATGTTAATTAATAGGTGCATCCAGAAGCACGACTGCTCACTAAGCGCTCAATGAGATTTTTTATCTGATTGGCATATTCCATTAGATCTAAAAATATAAACCAAACAGGTACAAGAGCTCACTTAGCGCTCAGTGAGCGGTCGTGCTTCTGGATGCACCTAGTGACCCTCTAATAAGTGTCTGGACACGTGAAGTCCGCCATTATTCGTCGAAATTGTGCGAGAGAGAAAAAATCATGCTATCTCATTCTAGTGGCGCTGTAAGTTGTAGCTGATTGTAGCTCTACAAACTTCATAGTTTCTGTTTCTGTTTCGTCTCGCCCTTAGAACATATAGTACTATATGTTCTAATGTAGGATTCACACTGCGTCCGACATCCGACATACGACGTCCGATAGGAGAGCTTATTTTCTTGATGTATAGCTAACAATATTTTGTAACAAGCTCTGCTATTGGATATCGTACCGTCGTATTTCGGATGTCGTACGCAGTGTGAATCCTACATATGGTCTCGCCTCATGCATCGTATCATTTTTAAGACCAGGACCATTAATATTCGAAGAAGAAGAAGAATCATTATGATTAATATTATTATATTATTACATTATAT